ATTATGATTGTTTTTCATAGACTAGGGATTAAAATTTTTTTTTTTTTTGCTTGTGAGATAGTTAAAGTTTATTGTGCAAACCTGGCTGATAAACACGTGGGGTTAATTGAAGGGTGAGAGATAAATGGTTCCATGAGCCTCGCCTTTCTAGTTCTTGGGTCTCATGCTCTCTGATGATGCGACCAGGGTGTAGCTGCCTTAATCAGTTCCCTGCTTCAGCTGGCAAAGCTCACTTCCTGTGAGACATCTCTGAGAAGCCACATGGACCTTCCCTGATGCAGCCCTAGGTGCTGGAGCTGCGTGGAGACCCCTGCCAGCACTGAGATGCTTACATGCTCAGATTCAGCTTTCCTCCTGCAGTCGGCATCATTGTGTCTGTTTTGTGAGATGGAGAACTTTGTAGATTGGCTTGGGACATATGGGCTAATGTTGGACTTAATGGGCTTGGACAGCACTGGGTTGGGATGCTTTCTTAATGTACACTTACCCTTTATATAAAACTCTTATATATGAGTTTCTGCGGATTTGTTTCTCTATCTTACCCAGGCTAACACAGCCTACATTTCTGAAATTCTGTGGTTTCCTTAATCAAACTCCCTAAATTTAAATCCCTTTAAGTTTCAATGTGTATTTCTTAGGTAGAAAGGTATTTGCTTGCCTAACTACATAGTTAGCAAATACAGGAGATTTAATATTGATACAATACTCATTGATCTACTGACAAATATTTTTAAGGTCCAGAATTTCCAAGACGCCCTCATAATTGGAGAATTCCTTGTGTACTTCCACCCCACACCCCCGTTGGTACTATTTACTCCGATGATGCTGGTCTCTTCTGTTTATCCCTGCTTTATTTGTTAGCCGGCCTTCTCCCTATTTTGTGAGGAAGACAAGCTATCCCAAATACCTCATACTTGTCAAGCATCTTCCCATAGGAAGCAGATGGTCTTTTACAGGCCACTATCCTTAACTCTAGCACCACCTTGTGGTCATCAGAGCAGATGCACCCTAACTCAAACCGGCCAAGGTTGCCAAGAGCAGCTCCCTCATAGATCTTGCCAAATGCTAGGTGCACACTCCTTGTGCCCCATTGTATTTAATCTCAACTGCAACATTGAGTAGACATTATCACCCATTGCCATCGAGTCCATGCTGACTCATAGTGCCCTATACACAGGGTAGAGCTATCCCGTGAACTTCTAAGACTGTTATGGATGTAGAACCAGGTAAGGAAATTGTAGCACAGAGGTTAATTAACCAAGGTCTCCTAAGTTTTATAACCCACCATGCTATCCCACAGCTTTACAGCTGGAAACAGATACTTAGCTGACTGGCAGAGCTAGGAAACCAGCTCAGATCTTAAGATTGCTTGCTCTGGGCTCCTAACTGGGCAACCCTTAAATGAGCCTGCTGGTCAGCTTCAGGGAAGGCTTCCCTGAACAGAATTCCCCAGTTGAAGTTGAGAGGAAAACCCCTGGCAAGGTGCTTCGAAGTCCTCTGCTGTTGTCTTTGGTACTTAATTGTGGCACCCAAATTGCTCAGACCAGTATCTGGGCCCTTTCCCACTGGCGGGGTCCTTTCTACTCCTTGGCCGGCCAGTTATGTCTCTTGAGGGTGAAGTCTTCACTAGGGTGGGGACTTGGCAGGAGACTCAGCTGGCATTCATGCCAACTGGCAACAAGGGAGAAGCTGGTACAAGTCTTAGATTCCACCTTGGCACTCAGCCTCGAAATCCACTATGGCTGTCTGGGAGCATCACAGCATGGGAACCAGAGCCAGAAAACAAAAAGTGGTAAGCACTGCAGGCCTGGACGGGCAAGCATAGCAGCCCACACATCCGGCACCACAGGCCCACCTTCCAATGCGTGACTTCAAGAACAGAGTGTAAAGGTACATTAAAAGGAAAAAATCCTACCTGTGCCATGCACAGGCATGTACCACCTAGATTCTAGATCAATGAGAAAAAGCATGCACGTACACCTTTTAAAAAGTGACTATACTTTGTATGTTTTGCATTCTGGAAGGATGCAAATCATGCACCACCTTCCTGAACTACCCAACAGGAGAGGCCCCTCAAAGCACCTCCATCCTTGGAGAAAGCAAACAAAACACTCTCTTCTCCTTTTGGATCCCAGCCCAGATTGTTCTTGAATGGACTAAACAAATGATGCAGCGGCAGGTAGGCAAGATCAGCGAGGGTGAGAGGTAAGGGCCTAGGATGCTGTTTGCTCTTTGACCTAGGCCACTCTCGTGCAGGGCTTGAAGGCAAGCTCGTCTATGTGAGACTCAACTTCGGCATTGGGTCTGGGGTAAAGTTCTTGCTTTGTCACTGAAGATCTGCAGCTTAACCTCTTCTGGACTTTCCCATCACCTGATTCGAGGGTAAGGTTTTGCTACAAAATGCAAAGTGTTATTAAATATTATCAAAACGTGAGCTATTAGTTCTCAACATATCCTCCACTTAGGTCAATCTACTTCTGCTGGCCCCATCTCCAGACCCTTCCTGAATACCTTAGTGCCGATTTTTCACAACTCCAGTCAGGGCATTCTCGAAGGACTTTTGAGTCTGGGACAAGATCGGGGCTATAAAGTGGGCAGCGTAAGATTTCTCAAGAACAAATCAGGTCAGCCCTTGCTACCATGTGAAGAATGGACAGGTGCGTTGCCCTGATAGGAAAAAGGAAAACCACTTCAGTGCAACTTCTCTAGCCTTTTGTTCACTGATGCAGTTTTTGATTTTCTTAAAAACTTCTTCCCAGAGTCCCCATGATCAGCCTGTGTCCTTTGAAAAAATATATCAAGATGCCCTCTTTGGAATGTCCAAGGAGCCTCCTTAATATTGAACTGACCTCTCAATTTAATAAAGGTCCCAGCAGGTCTCCTTGGAAGCCAGTTTTGAAAGACCATTTTTGGAAGGCATCCTAGAGACTTAAGATGTGTTACTGAGAAGACTTGTTTGCTGCTATCCACTGCTTACGGCAGTTTAAGCATGTTTTGTTTGGAATAAACCCTTGCGTGGTTGGACTGGTACCCCAGTAACAAGTTTGATGATTTACCCTTCCATAAGAGGGGCTTTAAGAAGTTTGCATGGAATTTTTCTGTGAACTTCCTGAAGCACCTCCTTCCCACCCACACAAAGCCGGCAGGGCCTGTTTGAAACATATATAACGTGGGCTGATGACCTTGGATGTCCTTTTGCAGGGATCGTTCTACAGGCAAATGCAGTGGACCCAAATCCAAGACTGCAACCGACAGACTTCAGAGCTGGTGCCCGGCACCACGGAGGCCTTTCTAGCACCGCCCTAAAGAATCTCAAGCACACAAAGTATATTCTTAAATATGGTTTAATACTCTTCTCCATTTCTGTACATCACAACACCAAGATTTCGCTGCTTAGGATCTCTCTGCAGAGGCTATAGAGAATGCAAAGGCTACGGTTTTCACCCCCTCTTATTTATGTGTTTGTATGTGTAAGTGTAATACATATCAGTATATATTGATACACACATCAATATATAATGCAATATATATCACCGAAGAGAACACATTGATTAAAGAAATACAAAATTTGGCATCATTTCCAAACTTAAATAGTAAAAATAAAAACTACAAAAGGAGCTGCATACCCTAAATGTATCATGTGAAACAACAAGCATATTCAAAACTGTAAATTTACATCCAATTTCTCTGGTCTTGTCATATCACATTAGACCCATTTACAATGGCAAAACCCTAAGGTACTGCTGTGAAGAGAGCATGTGCGCTCGCTCGTGGGTTTTCTGCAAACAAACAGCAGAGCCCAAAGCCAAAGCCTGTTCTGGTGAAGCCTCCCGTGTCGGTGAACACCAAAGAATCGACTTCTCATTGGGGGGTTGAGACACTAGGTTACATATAAGACAGTCATTTGGACCTCAAGAGTACAGTGTGAGAACCAGAAACATTACATTTTAAGACATACTCCCTTCATTCAAGTGAAACAGGATTATTGGAACGATAGGCAGGTCTGGAACCTGGGAACAAGGAGCTGGTTCAGACCAATAAAGCTACGAGTGACTGAGTCAAAAGTCAGTGAAGAACAGCAGTCAGGCACTACGTGTTAAAAGTACCCAATTTGAAAACCAAATGCCCCCCCGCCCACTACCCTGGCTGCTGTGGGGGTGACACCAATGGACTTTTCAAACCTTTGGTCCTTCAAAGTCCATTTGGTATGCTTTTCCATCACTACCACTGGGCACATCCTCCACTCTGTTCACTGTCATCGCCTCGGGCACACCATGACCTCGTACATCAGCCGGGTTGAAGTCTAATTCATAGCCCAGCTGGGAAGCATAAGCTTCAGGGTTTCAGGCCCACTTTTGGATCTAACATGGTTAATCCTTGGTGCCAGAAGCTGTGTCCCATCCCTTCCCTTCCCACCCGTCTCCCCTAATTTCTCCTATGAGAGGTGTTTCAAAGTCCCATATGTGAAACAGATGCTCCAACCCCACCAGGAGGTCAGGGGTTTCTAATTACATGCACAGTCATACATGTTTTGTCATCGTTCCTGTGAAAAAACCTTGCAGTTCATTTTATTAAAATCAAAACATTCACATAATCTCATGCCATCCAACACAAGGAAAACACAACCTCCCTTTTACCAAGGATAGACCCAAGCAAAATAAAGTAAAATCTTCTTTAAATCTTTTTGCTTTCACTTAAATTGCATGTTTTATTTCTCCCAATCCCAGCAAAAGCACAGAAGCTCCATCAGATCCATTCCAAACTGGTTTCTAGTAGGTTAAGATCATGGGAACCTTTGTCAAACCTGGGCACATATGCATCTGTAAAACAGATGGAAAGACAGTGCACCGGCCCCAACTGCTTCCCGAGGCAGTTAGGCTTTGCAATGCAATGTGCATCCTTGCAACTGACAGTCTGGAGGGGAAAGGGGTGGGAGGGCGTGAAGTTGAAAGCGCCTATCAGCTCACCCTTTCAACATTAAACAGAGACCGAGAGAGAAATGGTTCCAACATTTCACCACATATATTTCTTCTTATGCAGTCTAAGCTGAGAATGCCATGTAAATGGGTCACTGCGAAATGCAGCAATTTTTTTCTCCAATCAAAATAAGAAACAAACCAGTATGATGTCACTTCTATTAACTTTTGAAGGTTTACAGCAGTTAAAGTACTTTTGCTTCTATGTATGAAGGTTAAAAAAATCATTTGTTTTTTTCCATAAAATACAAGAGCAACCAATTTTCACCATCAAGTAAAAGTAAAAACTGGGATTCTTTTTTAAATTAGTCCATAGTGACCTTCGGGAACTTCTTGTAGGCTGCTGCGCTGACACCATGACAAACCAGTGTGGGGTCGGGCCTGGTTGTGTTTCGGTTTTCATTTCCATATCCAGTGCTCATGGAGTTAAGCTCTGAGAAGGGTCCAATCAAAAGGCAGGGATCTGTTTGGATTCCACCACGGGTATGCTCCTTGGGTTGGATGCTGGAGGGTGAGGCACGGTTTGCCAGACCCATGTCGACTACCTAGTAGTCATCAAGGTCAAAAAATTCATCATCTCCTCCTTGATATTCCATTCCCTGGAAATCTACTCGGTACCGTAAGATACCT